TCTATTGGTCTATGAGTATCAATCTTTTATCCTCTTTAGGTTTCCGGTGCCAGTGATTAGCGTGGGAAATTTGACATGGGGAGGAAACGGGAAGACGCCGATGACAGAGTTCATCGCTAGATACATGGATGATTTGGGGATACCTCCGCTAATACTTTCAAGGGTATGTGAGCATTGTTTTCGGTCATTTGAAGCATGCCCGCGCCTCGTGATTTGAGTTTGGTTTACTGGGCTGGTGGTTTTAACCGAATCAATTGTTTCCTTTTATTTCCATTATTTTATTTCCATTTTATTTCCATTTTCCACATATCGCTAACAGTGATTGTTCCCAGTATTGCTGTTAGATGTTGGCGCAGTAATCATTTTAATTGTTTTCTAATTGCTTATGAATTTATTGTTACTCTTTCATGTTGGAAAAGGAGTCAAAATAATGTTTTGAGCTTTCTTGATAAAGCTAGGGCTATGCTGGTGGGGATGAAGCTAAAATGCTTCAAAGGCACCTTTCACAGACATCTGCAAAGATTGGTGTTGGCGCAAACAGGACAGCTGCAGCGGCTGAAATGTTTGAAAGATATGGTTGCATGGACTTGGGCAGCTCGCTATACTTTGAGGCTCTTTTATCACCATTTAAGTTAAGGCCTCATTTGAGAACTGAAATGATAGGCATTGTAATTCTGGATGATGGAATGCAGGTATTAAACTTTGTTTATCCACTCTTTTTACAGTTCTCTTTATGTTAATATTTCACCTGTTTCTTTCTAATTCAATAATTTATCAAATTTATTTGTTGAACTGTTTGCATTCTTGATTTGTATTTGTTAATATCATTCTATGGTATCAATTTTTTAAGTCTTCTTAACTATCCTTTTTTACAATTGTACATTATATACACCAGCAATAATATTTAAGAAAGAGGATACTAAGGCGCGCTTGGGCCGGCAGTGCGTTAGCGGTGTGGTGTCACTCCATATTTTTTTTTGTTTGGCAAAAATCCTTTTTGCCTGTGTTACCAAAAAACTGCAGTTGGAAGCTGCATTTTCCCACCAGACTTTGCTACTTATGGGGGCTGCTAAAATGCTGCGGTTTGACTTAAATTTTATTTTTTTTGTAATAGCCACTGCAGATTTTGAACAAAAACCTCTTCTTCAGCAACTTCGCATCTGCTTATTTAAATAGTTGCTGCACCACAAACAGACCCTAATGCTTGCTATCAAATGGCACTTCACTGAAATGAAGCTTAAGTGTACTCTTATTAACTTCTGCAAGGCACTTGTTATTTTGCCGTGAAACCAAAGTTTTCCTAAGCAGAATAAATGTTTTTTAAGTGAGGTAATAAAAACTAACTCGGGTAATTATGGATGTTCTCTCAATATGTCATAACTTTGTTGACTGTTTTTTGATGGGAGTGCTTCTCAAGCCACCATATTCCAAGGTTCATTTTAGCTCTATTTCTCACTGTTGATTCATCTATTCATTACAATGGTTTATTTATAGGCTATTCTTGTCATCAAAGCAAAACAGATGGTGGTATTCTACAATGTTTTTTAAATGAAGTAATAAATTCCAAACGACCTGTGAAGCTCATCTTTCATGTTATCGGGCTATCTATTTTGATTGAATTGTTTTTACTTCTTGCATGCTATAGACAATTCTCAATGGTAGAGAAAAATTAAGTCCCAACTTAGTAGGGATATCGATCACAGGCACTAATAGAAGTAATAAGAAACAACAAGATTTGTTATGTGGAAACCCCAAAAGAGGAAAAACTTGGGAATTGGCCTAATCTAAGTAGTATATTATATAATCAAAGTTACATAGTTTTATTCTTTTTCTCAAGTAGAGAAGATAAAATTATATTACTTGTTCATATTTCTATTGTTATGATTGGAGTTGACAGATGAAGACATATTAGGTGATAGTAGTTAGGTAATACTAATTTGGAGGTATTAATCATATACCAATAACATGTAAATAATAATTAGGTAATGGCAGTTGTATGACAGTTGTTAGGCTACAATAGTCATTGGTGGTCTTTGAAGATTGCTACTGGTTGTTGGCTTCAAGTTTTCCTTGTGAGTTCAAATTTAGCTCTTAACTCACTCTTCTCCGCCCTATGTGGAGGATGGGGTCCATTTTCCCTTTTGAGTGGCTTTTTGATAAATTTAGCCAAAATCCTAGAGCACTCCATCAAATGTTCCGTATAATTCTTTGATCAGAGGTAGTTCTTTCAACATTTAAGTTTCTTGACAGACTCAAAATTGAATGATTTTTTGATTTGTTGGATTCATATCATTTAGTTATTCAATTCGACTATAAGCATGAAGAATTTTATTTGACATTCTAATTAATCCTTCAAAATTTTCAATTATATTTCAAGTATTTTATTTAGGCTCTTTTGATTTAGATTAAATAATTTTTGGTGTTGTTGGATTATATTGTTGAGATGCTTAATTGATTACAGATTTGTTGAAATTAGAGCTGAGATGATCTTGAATTTGACTTTTGAAGTTTTCTAAATAAATTTGCATTAAGATTCATGCTTGATCATGTATATTTTTTTGGCGATATATCCTTGCTAATGGTATGTGACATATATAACAAAGAATTTGTAAAGTTTAATGCGTGAAAAAAACCATCTTTTCTTTAAACTATTGCTTATAGTAAATGTGATTTTTGGCATTTGGGTGATATCGAGTTGTCTCATGGGAAAATGATTTAGTTATCAATGTCAATTGTGTGGAAGATAACCTTTTATCTAACATGATTTGGGATCATGTTTATGACGTGATGTGTCATCATTAGTAATTGTTCTATATATGTGGTTTGAGCTCTGTGAGCCACTTACCGCATTAATTTCATTTGTTTTCTATATCTACTATTTTTGTGTGGGAACTTTCTCTGTCATTATGAATTAATCAGTATCTTGTATTTTGAACTTCTTGCTCTGAAAGGGAGATAATGGTAGTATATTTGAAATGCTTTAGGGTTATGAATGAAAAATGTTCGATAAGGTACTCTTGACTTGGCTTGATTAGAGCTCATTTATAATTTTTTAATTAACTAATTTAGTAATCTTGAATGTTTTTATAAATACTCGGCCATTAAATGTAAGTTTGAATGTTTTTATTAATTCTTTTTTGTTAAATAAACAAACTTGAACTTTACTTGATTCATTTATGATTGTGAACAATATCATTTAAGACTAGTGAATATGCTTGTTGAGAAGTCTTGTTATGGCTCTATATTAACCTAAAACCCAATTTAAAAATATAACCAAAAATATGATTTAATTTAAAAAAAATTGATTAAAGTGTAATTTAAAATAAAGTTATTTTATTTATATTATTAACTAAAAAAAATTAAAGACCGATTAAAACCAAATAAAAAAAATAATTCCATATTTTAATGTGAAGCTTCATAATAATATAATTTAATGAAGTTGCAAGTTTCACGTCAAACTTCATGTTAGTTAAAAAAATAAATAAAAAAATCAATAATGAAATCTATGCTTCTAGTCTTTCATGTTCGTTCATGCCCTTATATGCATTCAATCTCACATCAGAGGGAGATTTATTATCACTACTGTTCAACTGAAAAAAAATGGAGATCAATTGCTTGCAAGTTGTTCGACTTGGTTTGGAGGTGTGGGAATTTTATGCATTGTTGAAAATTTTTTAAAATTACAACTTTAATTTTTTAACTCAATAGAATTATCCCGGCTTATTAAGATTCAATTGGTTTTTAAAATTAAAGTCACTTTTTATCTATATGCTAAACAGGGTCAGCTCGAAAAGGCAGAATAAGCTGCTCGTTTAAAGCTCGGCAATCGTAAAATGAATCAAGCTTGAAGAATAATGCATTTAAAGAATCGAGCTTAAACAGCAACCCATAAGTTCGATTTCAGTTTGAGCCAAGCTTGAACAATTTTTTAGTAAATTAGCTATAGCTTGAACAATCTTTTGCTCGGCTTGCCTTGGTTAGATTACAGCCCTAGAATTCTTTATGCCAACTCATATAATGGGCGACAGGTTGGTTATTTTTTAGGAAGAAAGATTATATGATAAACCAGAAGTTGCAAAAGTTTATAAAAAATAGTTTTACTACATTTTGATTAAAAAGATCAACCCAGAGCAACTTAATATTTGTTTTTATGCTTATATTTGAACTCCAAGTTTTATTTTCTGCAAAGGATCTCTAATTCCTTCTATGTTGTAGATTAATCTTACCCCAATTTTCCTCTTTTCTCGAGCATTTACATTTTGCATGAATAAAAAAAAAAAAAAAATCTAATCACATAAAATTCTCATTTCCATGAAGGTGTGTAGGTTCAATATAGTACACAGTATCTAAGGTTTACTCGTATTTTTCTGGCAACATTTTATTAAATAGTTCTCAAGTTTTTTTAATATATCATGTCATGAAATGTGAATGTGGCATACTTCAATTTTCATCCTTTTTTTCTGCATGTGTGTCAATGCTTTGTTCATACTTATGTTTTTTTTTAAGTTACTATTTTTTTCCATTTTTTATTTTAAAGTTATTTCAGTAATATGGCTCATTATTGGATGGGCATAAACCTAATCTGCTTTACTTCAATATATAATATTTTAGTTCTATCTGATTGATATCTGGAATATTTTTTTCTATGTTGATTTTGTGTTTTTTGATAGGTAGCATTGGAGTCTTTTTAGGAATGCGGAGTTGGTTATGATAAATGGCTTGTCACCGTGGGGGAATAATCACTTGATCCCTCGTGGGTCCTTAAGAGAACCACCTGATGCCCTTGGTCGAGCCCATATTGGAGTTATCCATCATGCTGATTTGGTTCGTTATTGTAACTTTTTGTTTCAACTATTAGACATACAGTGCATCGCTCTTGATTACATTTTATTTAACTAGTTATGATGCATGTGTGTTACACATGGGTTGACAAACTTATAATATGTTTATTATTATTAATTATTTTTCTTTGGTGAAATATTTTTGTTAACTAATTTATCTAATTATTTATGTTGAGTTAACTAATTTATCTAATTAAATTGATGGACTATGATAAAATGGACCAAGAAAGTACTGGAATATTAGCACTTCAAATTAAGTTCATATCCTTCTTTTGAATCAATATCAAGGAGAGCATCAAGAGAGCCGTTTTTTAACGAACACTCACAGGAGAAGCATCTCCAAGCCACTAATTAGTTCCCTAGAGCTTAAAAATAGAACATGTCCATCCTCACTAATGATGGATATTTCACCATATTTGTGAAAGTTGGGTACTTGCGTTTGTAATTTTTTACATATACTTTTGTCCAAAATTTGGTATTTTGAAATTTCAATTTGTGAAAATTTAGTTACAATTGCTAGCTGATTTTATGTAGTTCTGAATACTAGCTTTTCTTTTGATTATTTTGTTTGTTTCATTATCCAATATTTTAATATAACTATTGATTGTTTACATTTAAAGATTGCAAACAATTGAAATATCATTTGATAACTGTAACTTTATGTCAGCTTGCATCATATTGGTATCATAATATATTGTTCCAATTATGTCAACTAAGTATTGAACATTTAATTAGGTCTGCGCAAATATATAATGAATAATGCAATTAAAAAAAAAAAAAGGTGGTTTATGATATTAACCAACAACATAGTTATTCATAAAAAAGTTCTGATTTTTTGACAAATTTAACTGAGCATGCTCAATTGTTTTTTTGAAGTATTTTAGAAGTGTAGTGTAAAATTGACATGGGTTAAAACGGGACATAAAACTTAATTAGAAATATCTGCCATCTGGTGAAATTTTAGATGAATTGCATAGTAATTTTTAATGTTGTAAACAAAAAGATTATGGCACATTTGCATATTATGCATAATTTACTTTGTTACACATGAATAGCTTCTAGACTATTTTGCTATAACAATTTTACTTGATTTGTAATTATAGGTGGGGGTTTGATAATGAACTATGCCATAATTCACTGAAAATTATCTGAGGTTTTATCTACATCTTTGAGTATTGAGACATGCTATAAGCATTCAATTAAGTTTGTTGCTCAAATGCTGAAGAGCTTTGTAACTAATATACTGCCTATGAAAACTATAGTCATGCTAGAATCATGCATGAATATGATGGATGAGCTAATTGAAGAAATAATAGTTCATTAATATACATTAAATGAGTCTTTAGATGCATAAAATAAATTGCAGTTACAAAATGATCTAAATTCTGAGTATTTTGAATATGAATCTATATTTGAAATGGACCTTGCTTATAGAGTATAACTGAGAATTTGAGAGCAAAATCGAGCATATGATCATATATTTACTATAATTTTAACGGAGAATTAACGTCTGCCTGACTGCTAAGATAAGCCAAATCATATTTGGGGTAGTTGAATCAAATCACAATGTGAAAATGCAATTTTTGATGAATCATACGTAATATTATTCTGATGAAGGATTTTTAAATTGATGTCGGCTTTATTTTTAGTGAAGCAAATCCATAATAAAAATTTAATGACTAGAGCTATGTGGTGTTACTTTAGGACAGTAGCCAATAATAAATTCTTAATAATGGATGCAATCATGACTTTGTTAGATGAGTGCATTTTAACCTAGTGAATTGTAACTTATATGATTGTGCAATCATGGACTTGTTATTCGTTAATAGAACAAATTTGCTTTCCAAATAATGCTCACAATCTTGATATACTCTAATAGGACCCAATCAAACTGGCCTCAAAAGTTTTCGTGTTATAATGGCTAGATAAGATAACTTCTAAAAATTTACATTTACTCATTTAGGAACCTATGCATGAACTATATGATAATATCTACTAAAAAAATGCATTAGAGCACCAAGTCTAACAACATCTCTGCAATTCATCCTCCTAAACCAAAAGAAAAAAGGTGAATATTGCTTTATCTAAGAATGCCACTTAAATATATCACGCCAATGCAAAGAAATTACATAAAAGCACTCCCACCGATCACTAAAATTAATCCCCAACAACTTGTTACTCATTCAGCTTATGTCAACAAATTTTATATTCTTCAGTTACTTCACACATGAGCACTGGTTACAACACATGGTGGGATTAGTAATAAACTAAGTAGGTATTGCAAAACCTATGCTTACAACAAACATGGAATTAGGTCCAATATGGTAATTCAATTACAATATCTATGTGCAAATGTGATGAATATAATTAATTATGGTATTCATGAAGAAAGAAAACATGTGCTTGTGGGATGCATGAAATGAATTTTGAGTTCTAATAAATTTAAAATATAACCAATAGATAAATGAACTAAACTTTAAGGCTGCCATTATTGAATGTTTTTGTCACTTGCCTAATGATTATAAATACTTTACATGATGGATGTTATGATGTTAGTTACAGAATTGCATTTTATTATTCATTGCTCCAAAATGCTTTACAGAAATTGCACGATGCGTAACCAGAGAGCTTCACAAATTCCTAAGGACATGGACTGAAATTCAGCTTCCACACTGCTCTGAGCAACTACAAACTGCTTCTTGCTGAAATTCAGCTTTCACACTGCTCTGAGCAACTACAAACTGCTTCTTGCTTTTTCATGTGACCAGGTTTCCTCACATAAATAAGCAATACCCTGAGATAGATTGCTGATCATGGATGGACCCGACCCAATCTGCGTCTGTGTAAACTACAATAGAACGAGAGGTGTGGCAGAAAAAAAACAAATCTGAGCCCGGTGTGTCTTTTAAATAGTGGAGAATCTGGTGGACAGTTTGGAGGCGGTGCTCATAGGGTTCATGCTTAAATTGACTAACTATTCCAACTGTGTGATATATGCTGTGGCGTCTAAGGGCGAGGTAGATGAGTTTCCTTATAAGGTGCTAGTAGCGAGTCTTCTTTACAAGTACTGCATTGAGAACATCAAAAAGTTTTTCATTGGAATACATTGGGATAACCACTCGTTTGCACATGAAAAGATTGTTCTCTGTCAAAAGGTCAATCATATATTTTCGTTGAGACAGACAAATACCTTGAGTTGACTGAAAAATTTCCATGCCAAATAAGTACCAGAGAGATCCCAAGTTCTTCATTTCAAAGGAAGCAACAAGAATGCCTTTCAAATTCTCCAATGTTGGTAGACCATTACCTGTGAGAACAATATCGTTAACATAGACAATAAGTATAGCTACATGGCTGCTAGAGAAATGCCCTAAGAAGAGAGTGATCTAATTGAGCATGAGTGAATTCATGGCCTACCACCACTTATGTGAATTTTCTGAACCATGCCTGTGGTGATTGCTTCAATCCATAAAGAGATTTTCGCAGTCTATATACTTGCCATTGGGAGGCAATAGAGTCAAAACTTGGAGGAAGAGCCATGTCTACCTCATCTGTAAGATCGCCATTTAGGAACACATTTTTGACATCAAGTTGGAATAAGGGCCAATTCAGATTTACTACAAGAGCTAAGAGGACCCGAAGGGTGATTAATTTAACAACTGGAGCAAATATCTCATTATAGTCAACTCCGTAGGTTTGTGAGTACTCTTTGATGACCGATCGTACATTGGTGCTAATAATCGATCGGACAATAATCGATCGGTGTCCCACAGCTTTCTTGTCCCAAGGAAGATCAACAATGTCCAAAATATAGTTCCGCTGAAGGGCATTCACCTCCATGACGACAGCTTTCCAGGTTGAACTGCTAAGGTAGTCTCAATAATAGTAGATGGAAGTTGATGATTAGTCAGGGTCGTAGTAAATGCTTTGTTGGTTGGTGATTGTGAAGAGAGACATAGTTTGCCATGGGATAGAGAGAGCTTGTCTGATTGCATATCTTACTAGAGGAACTAACTTCCTAATTTGGAATATTAGTGCCGGGGATGTTGTCCAGAGGAGATTCAGGGTCCAGTAAGGGATTAGCGAGCTCTAGAGTAGGTGCATTAGAGTGAGTGTGTCGAGTGTAGCCATGAAAAGTGGGAGGATGTGTTGGTGGAACCAAACGGATAGAGGGCTTCTTGATGATAGGAGACGTGGGTGGAACCAAAGGAACAAATCCTCAATAGAAGGTGACGTTTGGGGGGGGGGACATCCACAGGAGTAAGGTAAGGAACAATGTCCAAGAACTCTAGCTATCTCTCACTGGAGGCTACGTTATAAAAATATGAAACACTTTGAAAAAAAGAGACATCAACACTCACATAGACTTTATTTGTGGTAGGGTCAAGGCATCAAAACCACTTTCGAGTGGCAGAGTATTCGGGGAAAACACATTTTATGGACATGAGATCAAGTTTATTTTGAGTCGGGGTTGTGTTTTGAACAAAGACTGTGCATCCAAAAATTTTGGGATCTAAAGTGGAGAATACTTGATTGTTAGGAAAACATGATCTCAAGATGGCTAAAATGTTACGAAAGTTGTGAATTTTTGAAGAAATTCTATTGATGAGACAAGTGGGAGTAATAATGATATCATTTTAGAAATGATTTGAGGCATTAGAGTGAAACATACTGGAGCGAGTAACGTCGAGGAGATGGTTTTTTCTCTCGGCTACCTCATTTTGTTGAGTGTCATTATATGAGCTATGATGAAGGAAACCCTTATCAAGAATTCTCCTAATATAGAGTTAAAAAATTCACGACCATTGTCAGTCCGAAGGACCTGAATAAGATTTTGAATTGGGTCAAAATGAAGGTGTGAAAGTTTTTGAAAGTGACATCAGCTTCATATTTATCTTTTAAAATATTGACCCTTGTCATTTGAGTGTGGTCGTCAATCAAAGGAACCACT